TTTGGTATAGATTGATTCACGAGCTTGGGTTGAAGTAGCTTCATCATGATCTTCTTTCCTTTATGGATGAACGAACATATATTTTTTTGACCCAAGATGGTAACATTGTAATCGTAGATCCATGGTCTTCCCAAGAGAATATGACTCACATCCATATCCACCACATCACACCAAACATGATCTTTGTAACATAAAAACTGTATAGGAATGTGACATCGTTGGGTAACAGGGATAGAAGATGTATTGTCAATCCATGCTACTCGGTATGGCACAAGATGCTTCTCAGGCAACAAACCAAGACGCGAAACAGTTAACGTTGACACCACATTGATACAACTCCCATTATCTATGACCACCTTACAATCTTTATTTCCAGACTTGATGTAAGTGTGGAAAATAGAAGTCCTACGCCAATCCTCGGTTTCCTTCGTAGGTTGAGCCAAAGTACACCTTACTATTGCTAATGTTGGATGAGGGACTTCAAATTCGATTCCACAATCTTCATCAGGTTGTTGGGGTTCATAAATATCTTCCTCAAATTCGCCTTGATTGTCAGCTTGTTCGTTGATGTGTGCACACAAATTTCTTGTTGCCTCCTTCGTTGGGCATTGGATAGAAAAGTGTCCAAAACCTTGGCATCTGTAACATCTTTGCGTTCCACCACCACGTGTATCAACTAGCACTCCTTTTCCCTCGGCAGTTTTTACTAAATTAGTTGTAGATGTTGGAGTCGTAGAATTTGGAGTCACAGATGTGCCAACATGAAAATTAGATCTTTGAGAATCAGTTTGCTTGACTACATTGGATGACTTTAAATACTTTTATCATTCTTGTACCATCTGAAAAACCCTCTAAAGTATTCACAGTATGAGGAATTAATTCCCTTTGAAGCTCTGGACGAAGTCCTGATCTAAACCGAGAAATAGTCATCCTTCGATCTTCCCTTATGTCACATCGCAACATGAATTCCTCAAATTTTGCAATATATTCAGCAACTGGCATGTTGTCTTGACGAAGAGTTTGACACTCATCCAACAAACTCTGTTGATAGGATAATGGTAGATATTTCCGCTTCAACCTTTCTTTCATCTCACCCCCAATGGATGATTGGTTCTTCACCAGCTCTCTTTAGTTGTGTTTCAACATTGGTCCAAAACAATCCAGTTTGACCCACCAATTTTATCTTAGCAAATCTCACCCTTCAAGCTTCAGACATGTCATGCCACTCAAAATAGCGATCCATGGTAGCTAACCAGTCGAGGAGTGCTTTAGGATTTAGCTCACCATCAAAATTAGGAGCGTCAACTTTCACAGATCTCATCACCCTTTCATCAGGGTCTTGCTCATAGCCACGATGAAAATTGTCTCTCTACGTCTCGATCATTCCTTCTATCATGACGTTGTCGCTCATGATTCCTCTCTTCTCCATTCACACTTGCTTCATCATGTTGGTTAGCTGCTTCTAAGTCTGCAAGGCGACGTTCCACGAGTCTGGATCTAGTGTCCGAATCTGCCACTTGCTTTGATAGGTTTTCCATCATCTGAACAAGACGTTCAAAGTCTGTCGCGGGCTCGTCTGTCTTTCCAGGCTTAGTCGGAGCCATCACTTGACACAGCGTGAAGAATAAGAAATACTCAAAAATTCTAAACCCAAGAAAACGAAAACTAGGCTCTGATACCAAATTTGATGTAGGATATGGGTGAATTGAGTATTTGGGTAATTTAGCGGAAGCGAAAACAACGGAAAAACAGAAAATAGGTGGTAAAAGACGCCTTGGCTTCACACCAAAAGAGTTTTGGCTTCACACCAAGGAGTCTCCAATCTCTGGAAAGTAAACTTTTCTTAATATCTCAAATCTCCATTTTAAAGAACTACATGAGGGGTATTTATAGCAAACTAAAACCTAGAGACAATGGGATAAAAATCCCTTACTAAAACAGAAATCCTAATCCACCAAGGAACTAAGTAAAATAAACTAGGAAACTTAAATCAAATCCTACTGAAATTTGGAAACTAAAATCCTAGTGAAATCTGGAAAACTAGAGAATCTAGGAAACTAACTAATGATGTCCGCATCAAGATAGGCCCAAGTGCTCAGTGTCCAGTTCAAGTCATCTAGATACTGTATACACTAAAGATTCGGATTTTAAGTGAAAAAGAAGAATTGGAAGTAACAATGCCCATATAATATTTACCTGAAGACTTGCAACTGCATCCTGGCGTTCCTTTATCAACTCTACATGATATAGAGGTCTTGCAAGCCATGTTTTAAGCAATCGCTTCCCAAATCCGGTAACACAGTGGTTCAATTGTGCATATATTGTCCTTCAAGAGTAATAAATTACCTCAGAATTTAGATTAGAATGAGAAAAATTAAAGACATGTTTAAGATAATTTACAGAAGGTTACCCTGAAGAGTCTCCATTTCTGCTGTTCTCAAAAATCTCAAGGTTCTCTAGGGCAGCTGAGTCAAGAACCATGTATGGTTTTGATACAATATCACCAAAACCAGAACTTGGAAGTAACTCGAATTTTGCAAATCGGAGTAATGTCTCATCCAGAAAAGCCTGCTTTAAATAAAAAAGAACGCCTCCAAGAGCTGAAAGTGCAAAGATGCCATTCTCACCTGTTCTCATAAGCTCTGACAACACATCTGGCAGGCAGCCCAAGTCATCATCTTCCAAATGAGAATCATTAGCATGTAAGTTGGATGTCTTTGGAGAACCAGAAACCAATTGATCAACGGTGCACCTGTAGATATTTCTAATTTCCTGAGCAGTTCTCTCAGCATCCCAGAATTCTAAAAGTGGAACTAACTCATTGACTAGTGGACTTCTTGTATGCCTTAGCAGTACTTTCTCTGTTTCAGGACCAAGTAGTTTTACAGGTTTTATAATTTCCACGGGCCTCAGCTCGGACAAGAGACAAGACAAGGCACTGCACTCTAAATCATCTCCAAACTGTTAATGGGAAAACAATACTAGTAAAAAACACATCCATACATAACATTTAGTTCAGTAAAGCAATACTAGTAAAAAACACAGACATACATAACATTTGATTCACTAAAGCACTACAAAACATAGCATGAAAAAACTTGTTTGTTGTGAAATGGAAATTAGGAGTAACAATGTCACAACTTGCACTGCTGATCATACATGTCCTCAAACAGTTAAAATTTAATGGAAATGTAGACAGCCACTGATTCCAGTAGGCACCAGAAAAGCACGCTATCCAGACCTTTTACGTTCATAATAGGCACACAATTTCATCAATTATGCTTAGCAGTTACAAAGAACCCCCTCTGCCCTCCCTCTCCCCACTGCTTTGATGAGTGATGAGTCCCACCCTGTTCGTGGAACAACTGTATGCTTTATGTGTGCATATATGTCTGTACAATTATGAGAATGAAAACTACGAGAAAAGGATGAACGAGATGTTCTACCAGACTCACACCTGCCCAAGAATGACGCGGCTGGTAGCAACATCAACTACACAAACCCCAAAAATCCGCTCTGTATTTTGGTTTGCCACATTCTGAAAGTTTTCAGTCACTGCCATTAGATAAGAAGCATCAGGGTTTGCTGACAGCATCTCTCCCTCAGTTAGAGTTCCTTTTGTAACCACTGCACATATTTCACGTTTCACAACCTATAGACAAAGGTGAAGTCAGAAGTTCATAGTGCCTTTTATGAGTAGCTTCAATATGGATATGAAATTACAAAGTGCAGTGGAATTAAAATATAGGATATCATATAAATCAAATGACAAACATTCAAGTATATATATTGACAGGTCAAATGAGCATACCTTATCTTTAGAGCCATCCTCTTTGCGACGAAGCTCCATCTGTTCAGGTGTTTCTGTCTGCTCTATAACAAGAACTCGATACCCCTGCTCAGTCAAGGCAGATTAAATTAATCTCCCTCCTGATTAAGAAATATACTTCTAATAGATATTAGAGGTTTAACTTCTACGAATTAGAGTAAAAAAAGATATCTTCAGAGAAAATGACAAGAATAAAGCCAACCTTCCTAGCCAGTTTCTCCACATTCATTGAGAAATTCTTCTCTGGGAATCCACAGTGGGGTTGTTCACCCTAATATTAGTCAAAGAAAAATTACTAAACAAAAAACAAATAGGAAACACAGTGGATGTATCCAAAGTAATGCTGCTAAAAAATATCAGAAAATTTCAAATTCAGAAGAGAACAGCTTGTATCTTTTATTTTCTTCTTTTCACCTATAAAATGAATTTTATCCAACCATTAAGGTAAAATGAGAAAAGAAAGAAAGTGTTAAGTGCTCACACACAACAGCTAACACCAAGACAGAATTTGAAGATAGATTACCTTCATATATTGCAGACCAAGTTCTTTTGCTCCTATGTGTGCATCCATTTCAAAAAGTTCATAAAATTTGCCCATCTGCTCAAACAAAAATCAGATATTCATCACTTGACTGCAGTATTGACCCTGAAAGTTTGTGTGGCATTATAAAACATATATATATTTTTTAATCCAAATTATATATATAACATTACTTGGCTACTGTAAAGGATGAACATACCTTGAAAAAGAGAACTTTGTCCATGTGCTTTGACTTAAACTCCCACCATTGTCTCTGAATATTAACACATGACTAGATTAATAGCGTTCATGATGGTAAAGTGCCTCCAAACCCTATAGGCCCACTTATCTATCTAAAAGCAATTACCTGGCCACCTGACAAACTCTTTAAGAAATCAGGAGGTAAGTAAAGAGTTCTTGGATCATACTTTGCATCTCCAGGACATCATTTTTTGGCATCCCTACGCTCTCTGTTTCCAGACCAAAGCAGTTGAGCAAAACATTTATGAAATTGGGATTCCACGTAAACATTTTCTAAATGCCTCGCAAAAAAGAGCAATAAATTCAGATCTGCGCACACTAATGTAGTAAAAGTTCTCCTTTCATCAATAGTCATAGGCAAAACAGAGATACAGTGACTGACTAATGTTGTCAGCAAAGAATTATATAGTTTTTGAATAGAAACAAAATTTATTGAAAGAAACGAAAAGGAACACACAAGTGGATAAGGCATCCACAAGCCAAACAAACAACAAAAACAGACTAAAAAACAAAGACACCAGCCAAACTACACAGAGACTGCTATACCAGAAAGACCCAAAGAAAATAAGATGCAGAAAAACACTTCACATCACAGCAGCAGCCATATCCCTCAGTATTGCGGAGTAAGAATAGTCTTTGAAATCTGAAGTGACAGAAGCCCATAGGGCATCAGCATAGAATTATATGTAGGCTGTAGCCATACACCAAGTTTAAAATGTAAAACTAACAACATAAAATGGCAATTAACAGATTGCCATTAGACACAGCAATTACCAGTAGCTTGTTCGCAACTGCCAAATAAAACAGGCACAAAGTGGGGTGGTCCTAGAAACACCATAGCGAATAAGTACAGAAACTTACTCCCCCAGGAAGTGCAACTTTTCAGCTTCACGAACGATAAACCTTGCTGAGGCATCACCAGATAAAACAGTATTCATACCATTAGCCACCTTCGTGCCTGCAATTAAGCAGGCTCAAATTCAGTACGGCATAAAACATATACCACGATAAAGACCCTACCTTTTCAGTATCAATAGTTACACCATTGATTGGAAGTATACATAACCAAATCAAGGTAAGTTAACTTGAGCATCCATTGGCTGGCATGGCAATAAGAAAGTAAATGCAGAAAGACAACAAAGTTTTTTAATAAAATACCATGCAATTCATATATAGCTTGACAACCTATTTTTAAAACTTGTATAAATCTAACCATTAACACTTATTAAGTCATACAGGATAGAATAGCTCCAGTTTGGCTTGCATTTTCTAAAATCAGGTAAATCCACTTCTAAACTGCTGCCATTCTTTAGAAATTCCATTTCTAAAACAGGCATAGAAATACACATACATGGAAAATAATTAGATAAATAAACAGAGGCACAAGAAAGCCCCTTCGAAATGTAATTATTTTTATAAACAAAATCACCATCAACCCCGCCATGCATTTGAAATTTGAATATGATTTTCTCAGTACGGCACATTTCTTATCTCCAAACAAAATCAACAAATAAAGAGAAACATAGGGCACACACTCAAAATCCCAGTACTTACTCTCAGCATTAGGGGTAGGCTCCATCACATATTTATCACACTTGATCTTCTTAGCAGACCCCAAATTCCCCCCACCTTTCAACTTTCGTTTACTCCTCAAGCCTCGCTTTCCTTTGTTCGTGCTTGTTGTGGGGACTTCATCATCTTCCTCATCCTCCAATTCCATAAGCTCCTCTTCCTCCTCAGCAACCTCAGCACCCTCAGCAACTAGGTCTTTGTCCCCACTCTTCCCCCAGTCCTCGTCGCTGGAATCATCGTCAGCAACATCATTGCTGCCTTCCTTATCCTCATCCTCATCCTCCATAACCACATGCCCATCCACAACGACCTCGTTGGAAGTCGACAAAGGGCCTCGCCTCAAACGTTTCAAGGTCTTGACGGTTTCCTGGACCCATTCGATCTTCTCCTTTCCCAAATCCAACAACTCCTCTTCAGCATCATCGTACTGAACTAAATGTTTACCATTATCCTTACTGAACAACTTCACATAACCTTCGTACCAGATATTATCCAACGGCCAGTAAACCCTGATCCTCTTGCCGACAACCTCTTGGCCATGGGATTTCTTGGGCTTGGGCTTGGACTGGAGAGGCGAAGGAGTGGTGGGGCTAGGGTTAGGGTTTTGAGTTTGTTTGGATTTGGCAGAGATGGGGGATGGGGAAGAAGTGGTTTTGGAGAAGAATGAAGTGATTTGGCGCTGTTGGTTGATCAATGGGGAATGGCCGTTGCTCCGACGACGCGACATTGCCTGCTGTGTGTGAGTGTGATGATTGTGTTAATTAGTAGCTCTGACACTCACTGCGAATGCGGGTTACAGAGAGAGAGGAACTTAAAACTGATGCACGTGGACTGTGGGCAAAGAGGGTTTCGATTCTCAAGTAAAAGAGAGGAATGTTTCATGTAGCGGGAAATAACAGAAAATGGCCGGGGGAAGCTGCTGTTTGGCGGGAAACCCTACCTCTCTCTCAGTCTGAGTCTCCCTCCATCCATCATTTTTATTTTAATTTCTTTTCATTTTGTTGGCCTTATTGGGCCGGCCTGCGATAGAATTCGGCCCAACAATCTGCAAGGTACGTTGTCAGTCAGGAGCTACAAGTTTCATCTTTGAATCTTTTGATACTTATAGATACTACTTGCTTGAAGTTGATTTCTCCTCTCTCGCTCTCTCTAATCTCGATCTACCAGACGGACTACCAGAACCAGAGGCCTCAACTCAAGCGTCCTTTCATGGCTGCCCAATGTCGCACTTTCTAAGAAGATCCACACCCACTCAACACCAGCACCAACACTACTCGCTCTGTCTCCAAAGCCACTTACTTTACTCTCAATCCCACCCAATACTAGTCTCAGATGCCCACCTTTACCGCCGGCTCACCCCCTCGCTACGCTCTGTCTGTCAGGGGCCAAGGTCTGGACGAGAAAAACGACGTCGTGGAGAGCAAAGGTGGCTTCCTAGTGGTAGCACTCTGCCCCTGCCTGGTTTGCTTCATTCTCCTCCTCATCGTAATTTCCATCATTCTCATTGTCAAATTCCATTTCTTTTGCCACACCCCACTTCACTCTTTGCTCTACAAGAAAAATTGCTAACACCCACACTTTCCCGTTTTACAATTCCAAGATTGGTGGTGGTGCCCAATGTTCACTTACTAGGAAATGTGGTTGGTATAGAATATTCTCATAGGATTAGGGGATTTTCTAGTGCCACCGCTGGTGGTTCGGATTCTGATTCTGAAATTGATAGTGAGGACGAGGCTAGGGGTGAATGGGAGGGTAATGAGGGTGTTCATGCTAATTCTAGTGGGGACCCGGAAGAGGTTGATAGGGTATGCAAGGTGATCGATGAATTGTTTGCCTTAGATCGGAATATGGAGGCGGTTCTTGATGAATGTGGCATTCATTTGTCGCATGATTTGGTTGTGGCCGTGTTGATACGCTTCCAGCATGCTAGAAAGCCCGCCTTTCGATTTTTCTGTTGGGCGGGGCAGAAGCCAGGGTTTGCCCATGATTCGAGGACTTATAATTCGATGATGAGCATTTTAGGAAAGACTAGACAGTTTGAGACCATGGTGTCCCTGCTTGAAGAAATGGGAGCGAAAGAACTTTTGACAATTGAAACATTTGTGATTGCTTTTAAGGCTTTTGCTGCTGCCAAAGAGAGGAAGAAAGCTGTTGGCATTTTTGAGCTGATGAAGTTGTACAAGTGCAAAGTTGATGTCAATACTATTAATTGCTTCCTTGATACTCTTGGAAAGGCAAAGCTGGGAAAAGAAATGCAATTGCTTTTCGAGAAGTTGAAAGGGAGGTTTACACCAAATTTACAAACTTACACACTACTGCTCAATGGGTGGTGCAGCTCGAAGAATTTAATGGAGGCAGGGAGGGTGTGGAATGAGATGATTGACAAAGGATTTAAGCCTGATATTGTTGTGTATAATACTATGCTTGGAGGGTTGTTGAGGAGTCACAAGAGGTCTGATGCTATCAAGTTGTTTGAGGTCATGAAAGCCAAGGGTCCGTCACCCAACGTCAGAAGCTATAGTATTATAATTCACGATTTCTGCAAGCAAAAGAAGATGAAAGAAGCAGTTGACTCTTTTTATGAAATGCGTGGATCTGGGTGCCAGCCAGATGCTGTGGTTTACACATGCCTAATCACAGGGTTTGGAAATCAAAAGAATATGGAAATGGTTTATGAATTGTTGAAAGAGATGAAGGAAAACGGTTGCACTCCTGATGGGAAGACTTACAATGCCTTGATAAAATTGATGACAAGGCAGCAGAGAATGCCAGATGACGCAGTGAGGATCTACAAGAAGATGATTCAAAATGGCATTGAGCCATCGATACACACTTATAACATGATCATGAAGTCTTATTTTCAGATGAGAAATTATGATATGGGTTGTGCTGTATGGGATGAGATGATTCAGAAGGGGTGTTGCCCTGATGATAACTCATACACTGTTCTCATTGGAGGTCTCATTAGTCAGGGAAGATCAGGGGAGGCCTGTAAATATCTAGAGGAAATGATAGAGAGAGGAATGAAACCTCCTCAGCTTGATTTCAACAAGTTTGCAGCCGACTTCTCCAGAGCTGGGAAACCTGACATTTTTGAGGAGCTTGCTCAAAAGATGAAGTTTGCTGGTAAATTTGAAGTCTCCAATGTCGTTGCAAGGTGGGCTGAGATGGTGAAGAAAAGGGTACAGAGAAGAGATCCTATTGATAATGGTGGTCAGTGAATGTGAGTTACTTCATGAAGATCCAGGATACTTGGCCTCAAAGATGGCATAGGAGGCATCCTGGTTATACTTGGCTGCCGAACTTTTAGCATGCATCAACAACTTGTTGGGTTGAAAAGCCACAGTTTCTGTTTTATGTTATTATAGTTTGTGCACTTGTATCTTATTTGCCTATTTGGTCCTATTTGGTGTTATAATTAGTTCAGATTTATGTACTTCAGATGTATCACTTGATTTGTATATACTTTTTGAGTTTCAGGTTTATGTACTAATGGCTTTCCCGCAAAGTTTATTGACTGGCCTTGTAACATCCCGACCCAAAAATTTAATTATTCGTTAATTAAATCAATTTATTAAATTGTGAAATTACAATTTAGCCCCTAGGGGTAAGGGTAATTTGGTCACTTTTTAATTCAGAAGGATTTGGCGGAAATAAATGGCACCATTACGTAGATCGCACCGAGATGAGTCCGTAGACATATAGTGGGTTTGAATCGGAGTTATAACGAAGAAATTACGATCAAAAGCATAACCGTAAATTTTTCGAAAAAGGATTGATAAAAATCAGAAAACTCTCTCTCTCTCTCTCCCTCCTGTGCAACAACAGCCCCCCCTTCAGATTTTGCTTCGCCACCGCCACCTTCGGTCGCCACTCGCGCTGGGACTGATCCCAAAAGGACCGGCACCTTCTCCTATTTCCATCCTGACCATTCCCAGCCGCCACCGCCACTGCATTTCACCTCAAACTGCAAAAACGACGTCGGTTTTGACCCATTTTTCTCATCGCTCGTTTAGACGTTTCCGGCTACCAAATTTTGCAATCTAGGTATGCTTTTTCATCATCTCAATGTGTTCTAGCTGATGGTTGGGTTGTTTAGGATCAATTTCTGTGTTTTGGTTGTCAAATAAGCGATTGAAGTTTTGGCCGGTTTCAGCCCTTGATTCCGGCCATCTCCAACCACTTTTTGGGGTTGGTCCAAGAACAAAAGTTGCTCCAGTCAATGTCCTGATCATGTAGGTATAAGTTTTGACCGGTGGTTTGGAGATTTTCCGATCGCTGGTATTGCTTTTGGACACCCACGCACTGCCGACGCGTGTGGCGGTGCGTGGGCACTGTTTGGGTGTCTTTCTTGGTCCTAAAATGATCCCCATGTCGTCCCAAGCGCGACGGTATGCTCGGATTTGAATTTGGTTATCGTTTGATCGTCGATCGGATATCGCATCAAGGTTTGACATGTTCGAACTGTTGGATCGACTCCAATTTAATATATGTTGATCTAGGCATCCCTAAGATCATGCAGGAATTCTTGGATCGTGAATCGGAGCCCCGGATGTTCCGATTCAATAACTTGAAGTTTGCGTTAAACGATAACCATTTGATCATGAGCGATCCAACCGTTCAATTCTGACCAAACTTGCAGGACATGCTTATTAAACCTTGTTGAACCCATAGGAACTTCCGGATCGAAAATCAGAGATTGTGGGCCCCATGGGCCCCGTTAACCCATTATGGAAAGTTTGACCGCCTGGTTGACCGAGCGTCTTCCGAGGCTATCCCATCATCCGAAACACGTAGTTGGACTTTAGGAATCGTTCCTCGTACACTTGCCTGAAACCTGGGAAAACTAGGATTTTATTTAAAGTTCTCGTTCGAAGTGCTTTATGTTAATTTAGCGCTCGTGTTTGTAAATAGGTACTTCGGTTACTCGCATGCAGCAGGCGGGACCCTCTCAGGGTTAAGCAGCGTGTGACTATTTGTGAGTGGACTTTGTTTTCAAATATTAGGCATTGTTTTATGTTGGAAAAACTATGGATATGGATTTAATGGTTTATTGAATTCATTATATATTCAATTGTTGAATTTAATATTTTTGTAAAGTATTTGCAATATATTTGGGGTTTTGGCATATTTGAGTATCTTGAATTTATATATATGGTTTTTGAGAATTTCTAGCTATGGTTGGTTATGTGTGGGGTACGTGGGGTGTTGATGTGAGAATACGGAAAGAAAGTGAATTTTAGTATGTCAGTTTGAAGTGCTATACGCACTACCCTATGTACCTCACCAGATACTTGGATATGTTGGAACCCGGGCACCCTTGACGGGGTGTTTCGTAGACCATTAGCGGGATTAGTCTGCGCGTTGAATAAATCCTATTACTTTCGAGTTGAGAATTAAAGAATGCATATTTTGGTTTCCCAAAAACAGATGCCAGAAATGGATGGGTTTGAAGCAACAATGCAAATAAGGAAAGAGGAAGAACCTTACAATGTTCACATTCCCTTCATTCCATTAACTGGTCATGCACCAGGCGAGGAAAGAAAAAAGAGGATTGAGGCTCGCATATCGACCATTTTAAGCAAACCGTTCCAAAGGGAACATTTGCTTGAAATAATGAGACGCATTGATAGTAGAAATAAATTTAAAGCGAAATGTTCAAGGTAGAGGGATGACATTTTTATATCACATTTCTACGAGCATTCACAATCATACTCTCTATTTTTTAGTTAAAATTTAGCTAAAAACACTAGAAAGCTATTTTAGGAGGTCTCTATAAAATTTCAACTCCCTAGTTTAAAGAGTCATAAATGTTTTTAATATTTTTTAATTCAATTTTTGAATAAAGTGTAGACACAAAAGCAACAATAAAAAATAGTTGGCACTAAATAAATGCTGAAAATAATATTAAATATAGAAGCATTTAATTATAGGGAGTTACTAAGAGTCCTTTCTCTCTAGAGATCTCCTTATTTTAGGAGCTCCTAGAGATCTCCCTATTTTAGGAGCTGAATAGGGAGCATGGTTGGAGGTTGTTTTTTTTTTAATTCCTCCTTCAATTTTAGCTAAGGTGATGATTTAGGGAGTTCATTGTAGATTCTCTAATATAGTTACGCGGCCTACACACAATATAAGTGAGCTTCCTCTCTATTAGAGATGTGATACAAACATCTTATTTATATGTCTTATAATATAGTTGTGGGTGTGGGTGAAACATGAATCCAACTAGTTTGCCCCTTGCTTTTCTACACACAATATATTATATGTCTTATAATATAGTTGAGCTACAAAGCCCCATGCTTTTTTTCTTAATTACTGTTTTACCCCTGTAACGGATGCTCGGTCTCACTTTACTCCATGCAACTTGTTTGCGCTAAAACTAGATGGGTAGTATTTAGGCCAACTTAAAGATGAGGTGAATGTTGAAGGTGAGGACCCTCGGTATGTGAAAGCATTCGGTAAGCAGGTAAACATGCATACGGAAGACAAATGTACGTGGTTCGCCCGAATAATGGACTACGTCCACAGAGAAGTATGTTCTCATTACGATAACGTGAGTATACATTGCACATAGGTTTAGACTCAAGGAGAAGAGGAAGAATACCGAAGGCCGAAGGCAGATGCCGAAGGCTGAGGTGAATCTCGGCCGCCGCTCTTGATCGTGGGTTCTGAGCTTCTGGCCGTGGAGACGCATTTATGGCCTGGATAGCTGGTGAACCAATATCTCAGGCTGTTAGAATTCTTGTGAGAATGTCCACGTCTAATCACCCTGATCCTCATCACCAAATCCTGACTTCAGTCACTTCCCACCTTCCCTCATACATTAAATGCTTCCTTGTGGCCAATGGGTTTGCTGCATTAAACAAGCACTACTTCATTAAATGAAGCCTGGGACCCTGCTGTCACGTGATGATTTGCCTTTAATGCCTTGGCCGCAATTTTGTTCGGCCTCGGCCTCGGCCTGCGCTTGAGGCCGAGATGATCATGCCTTAGCCTTTCTTCTTTTGTCTTTAGGAAGGCGAAGTACCCTGGCGAAACGCTGCGTTTCAGTTTTTACGAACAAGTGCCAGGGCCGAGAGAAGGGGCTCCTTCGGCCAGCTTATGGCCGTGATTTATCAGGCACAAACAGAAAAAACTTAAAAGGGTCATTAGTCAAGGAGAAACAAGTCAAAATATTCCTCCCCCAAAAATAAGCCTAAACACCACTTTAGAAAAATTTAATAAAAAGAAAGAAATTACTTTACAAGACCTACAGCTCGAAGTAAAAACCGTCAAAAAAGAAATTATGAATTTAAAACAGATAAGTCATGAGTTGCAGAATGAAAACCTCGAAATAAAACAAGATCTAATTAGTCTAATGAAAAAATTAGAACCTAATGGTGAAAATGAAAAAAGCCCTCAGAAGATTCTGAAGAAGAAGAACACTCAAGTAGTGACAAGGCCATTACCCTAATCAAACAATTGAATTTTAGAAAATGGTATTCAAAGGTTAGTATTTTTATCCAAAATTTCGAGTTAAAAACCATAGCCATTTTTGACTCAGGAGCCAATCTTAATTGATTTCAAGGACTAATTCCCACTAAATATTTTAAGAAATCAAGAGTCCTTAGGAACTGCTTTTGGTAAACCACTTCGCCTAAAATATGAAATCCCTAAAGCCCACTCTGTCAAAACAAAATCTGTTTCAAAACATCTTTTGTCCTTGTTTAAGACATAACAGATGAAGTCATTCTAGGTCTACCATTCATTTCTCTACTCTATCCCTTTAAGGTAGAATATGACGGAGTTATCTCTCATCACATGGGAGAAAAGGTCAAGTTTGAATTCCTAGCATAACCAGAATTACAAGCCTTAAAAGCCCTCCAAAGTACTGCAGTTTCTAAAGCATAAACAAGTTAACTTCCTTAAAGAAGGAGTCAAATCTAAAAGAATTGAACATAAGCTCGAAGACAAATATTTGCAGCTCCAAATCAAGAAATTCGAAGAAAAGATCAAACAAGAAGCCTGCTCTGATCTCCCTAATGCCTTATGGCACAAAAAACAACATGTAATCAACTTTCCTTATATCAAAACCTTTAATGGAAGAAATATCCCTACCAAAGCCAGACCTATTCAAATGAGTCAAGAAATTATGGAATTCTGTAAAAGAGAAATTACAGAATTACTTCAAAAGGGAATAATCGGCAAAAGTAAATCCCCTTGGTCCTGCCCAGCCTTCTATGTCCAAAATAGCGCAGAATTAGAAAGAGGCGCCCCTAGGCTAGTTATCAATTATAAACCCCTTAATAATGTCTTAGAATGGATTAGATACCCAATCCCCAACAAACGA